AGATTTTTTTTTTTTTGAAGAAAAGTGCCCTGCCTGAGGGTTCCTTATCTGTTTTTGCTGAAGCAAAATAAATAAGACGTGAAGAGGAGATCTCCTCTAACGGTTTATATGATAACAGAGGATTGTTTTTTCCTTTGGTGATTTAATCGTCAAGGGAACCCTTCTTGAAATGAATTTGTGTGAAGCAAGTATATTTTTACTTGTTTCTCCTTGTAGTTTTTCGATGTGGGACAATCTCGTGGCTTATACTACCGAACTTAGAATCAGTAAATATGAGCGTGAGAGTAAAGTTTGTTGAGCCGGACACATTGGGTCCGAGGCGAATGAATTACTCCCCGGCGCTGAGCCTGAGGGGAGGTTTTCTGAGCCGGATCCTTAGAGTCCGAGGCGAATAAATTACTTCTAGGCGCTGAGCCTGAGGGGAGGTTTGCTGAGCCGGACACTTAGGGTCTGAGGCAAATAAATTACTCCCCAGCGCTGAGCCTTAGGAAGGTTTTGCTAAGCCGGACACTTAAGGTCCGAGGCGAATAAATTACTCCCCGGTGCTGAGCCTTAGGGAGGTTTTGTTGAGCCGGACACTTAAGGTCCGAGGCGAATAAATTACTCCCCGGTGCTGAGCTTGAGGGGAGGTTTGCTGAGCCGGACACTTAGAGTCCGAGGTGAATAAATTACTCCTCAGCGCTGAGCCTGATGGGAGGTTTTGCTGAGCCGGACACTTAAGGTCCGAGGCAAATAAATTACTCCCCGGCGCTGAGCCTTAGGGAGGTTTGCTGAGCCGGACACTTAGAGTCCGAGGCGAATAAATTACTCCTCGACGCTAAGCCTGAGGGGAGGTTTTGCTGAGCCGGACACTTAAGGTCCGAGGTGAGTAGGTTTCTCCTCAGCGTTGAGCCTGAGGAGAAGTTTGCATATACCTACATATTCGTTTTTTTTTCCAAACAACTTATCATGAGGCCGAGGACTCAAAAGTGATAGTAGGCCAAGAAAGCGAGTAACAGTGGCTGGGAAGTTTCCTATTTGTTTACTTTGAAGACTTTCCTCCATTGATACTCCCTTCTTGGCAACCAAATGTAATGGACCATGCATATATTAGCCATATTTCTTTTCTATTTTTATCCGATGTGGAACGTAAACTAAATTTTGTCAAAAAGGTCGGTGTAAGGAATGCATCTGGTATTAAGCTTGACAGCCTTTAATACCAGTAGGCCTTCTTTACACCGCAATCAACTATTTGAATATTTCCATATATAACAAAATGTAACTCATTCTTTTTTGTCGATGTGGGACATAGAATTTTAACCATAGGCCATAACTCGTCTTTTTTTTTTTTTTTTTGTAAAAATTTCTTTGCATAAAAATTGCATAGTGTGCGACTTGGCATGCCATAGCATGCGACTTGGCATGCCTAAAAATTGCATAAAAATTTCTTTGTATAAAAATTGCATAATGCGACGCAAAGTTGCATAATCATAGAATGGTATGGCCCCCATTTTTATGGAAAGAAACAGATGGAGTAAAATTATACTGAATATGATAGAAGCAAAATAAAGAGAAGCTTGGTTGACTGTGAGCCTACGCAGCCTTATTTGTGAAGAATTCTTAACAAAATTAACAAACTTATCTAATGGAAATACCTTTTAAGGTGTATTGCATTCCAAGGACGCGCAATGGGACGTCCGTCAGCTTCGACCAAATGATATGCTCCCTTCCCCACTACTTCAGTAACCCTGTAGGGTCCGGTCCAATTAGGTTCCAGTTTCTTTACATGAGCTGTTTCTTGCTTTAGAACCCAATCGACTACCACAAAGCTCCTGAATCTGACGTGTTTGTTATAACTGTTGCGCAACTGTTACTGATATGAAGCAAGCCTAATTGCTGCAGCATCCCTTTTTTCGTCCAGGAGATCTAAACTATGTTCGAGCTGCTGACTATTGTTTCCCTCAAGCAATAAGAATGTCCGAAGGGTTAGAACTGCCGCTTCGGTTGGGATCACAGCTTCGGATCCATAAGCCATGGCAAAGGGACTTTCCCTCGTAGGCCAACGTGGAGTGGTTTGGTACGCCCAAAGCACCTGAGAGAGATTCTCGTACCATTTTGTTTTGAGTTTCTCCAGCTTCTTCTTTAAACAACTGAAAATGGTTCGGTTAGTTATTTCAGCCTGTCCATTCCCTTGTAGATGACTGACTGCAGCTAGCTTTTGTACAATTCCATGCTCAACAAAGAATTTTCTTATACTTTTATTGTCGAGGTTCTTACCATTGTCCATCATGATGACTTTTGGAACCCCAAACCGGTAAATGATGTTGTTCTAAAGGAAATTTTTTACCTACTCATGGGTCACACTTGAGTAAGTCTTGGCTTCTACCCATTTAGTAAAGTAATCTATAGCCAGTAGCATGTACTCCTTTTGCTCCACGGTCTTGGGTAAAGGGCCCACCATATCAATCACCCACTGTGCGAATGGCCATGGATTTGCCATTGCATGCAAATCTTCGGCAGGTTGATGCTTCATTGGACCGTGGCGTTGACATTTGTCACATCTCTGAGTATACTCTTCTACATTCCGGGCCAAGTACGGCCAGAAGTAGCCTTGAGTTAGAACTTTATGTGCAAGGGATCTACCCCCAGAATGGTTGCCGCAATTTCCATCATGGATTTGTTTCAACACCACAAGAGCCTCAGTATGGCTTAAACATTTCAGGTAAGGACCTGAAAATGACTTCCAGTACAATTGGTTGTTAATGATGGAATATTTAGCTGCGGTGAGTCGGAACTTCCGTGCTTCAGGCTTCTGGTTTGGAAGAATTCCATGCTTGAGGTAGGCTTCCAATAGATCAATCCAGCATGGTTCTCTAGGAATAACTGGAATCACCATTACTTTTTGCCGAGGGTTAATGCTGGGTTCATCCAAAACATCAATTGGCACAATCTAAGTCAGATCTTCATTTGAGGATGACGCTATTGTGGCCAATTGATCTGCTTCAACATTCTCAACCTGAGGTACCTGACAGAATTTGATTTGATCGAATCCCCGTGTAACATTCTCCACAGCTTCTTTATATGCCTTCATTCTTTCCTCTTTGGGATGGTACTGACCTGTCACTTGATTTATAACAAGCTGTGAGTCACTAAAAACTTTTCAACAACGTACCTGAAGGCTGCTGGCCAATCGAAGACCAGCGAGTAATGCCTCATATTCAGCCTCATTATTCGTAGCAAGGAATTTCAAGCAAATAGACTGCTGCAACTTGGTGCCTTCGGGTGTTGATATAACAATCCCTACCCCTGCACTTGTTTGATTCGAGGAACCATCGACCCGAAGCTCCTACTGTGGTTCAGGGGGGTCCCGGCTCTTCGGGAGTGTCTTCATATTCGAGAAGAAAGTCTGCTACGGCTTGTCCCTTATGCGACACCTTCAACTCATAAGTTATGTCGAAGAAACTAAGCTCAATAGCCCATTTGATAATTCTCCCAGATATATTGGGCTTAGAGAGTATACCCCGTATAGGATAATTGGTGAGTACCACAATGTTGTGACATTCAAAATAATGCCGAAGCTTCCTTTTGGCATAGACCAAGGCTAAAATGATTTTCTCTGCTTTGCTATATCGTGTTTCCACATCTGTCATTGTCTTACTTGTGTAGAAGACTGGATATTGCCTCTTTCCTTCCTTTCTAATCAATGCTGCACTTGTCGCTATACTAAAAATCGTCAAATACATAATAAGAACCTCCCTGGGTTTTGGAGCGGATAGAATTGGTGGTTCGGCCGTGTAACCTTTCAACTGATTGAGGGCCTCCTGCCGCTGAGGTCCCCATATATCTTCATTCTTAGATCTTATAGCATCGAAGAATGGTTTGCACTTATCTGACAATCGGGATATAAACTGGCTGAGGGCTGGGATTCGACCGGTAAGAACTTGTACCTCTCTGCGATTTTTTGGTTCCTGATTCTGGATAAGGGCCTTAGCCTGAGCTGGACTTACCTCTATCCCTCTTTTATTCACTATGTGGCCGAGGAATTGACCTAATGATACCGCAAAGGAGCACTTGGATGGATTCAGCTTCATGTTGTACTTCTTCAAGGTATTGAAAACTTCCTGGAGATGCTTCGGATGGTTTTCCTTCTTCACACTTTTAACCACCATGTCATCTATATATGCTTTAACTGTCTTTCCCAATAGATTATCAAAGATCTTATTGACAAGACGTTGATAAGTAGCTTCAGCGTTCTTCAGTCCGAAGGGCATGACCCTGTAACAATAAGTCCCCTTTTCTGTAATGAAAGCCATTTTTTCTTCATCTTCAGGGTTCATAGGAATTTGATTGTATCCCGAGTTTGCATCAAGGAATGTCAGCCTCTCGTAGCCGGTGGTAGCATCAACCATTTGATCTATCTTGGACAGAAGGAAGCTATCTTTAGAGCAGGCTTTGTTAAGGTTAGTATAGTCTACACAAACCCTCCACTTTCCATTCTTCTTCTGTACAACCACCACATTTAACAGCCACTGTGGATATTGCACTTCTCGAATGAAACCTGCTTGCAACAAATTGTTCACTTCTTCAACTATAATGTGATTGCGTTCGGGGGCAAACCTTCGGTGCTTCTGCTTAACCGGTTTGAACTCCGGATCCACCTTCAGACTATGGCAGAAAACTAAAGGATCGATCCCTACCATGTCTGAGTGATCCCATGCAAAAGCATCTGCATTGCTCCGAATAACATCAATTAATGCCTCCTTGTCTTCGGACGTGGAGGAAGAGCCTAAATAAGTGACCTTCTAAGGGTTGCCGAGGATATCTTCCACGGCTTCAAGGGTCTCCTCGGTGGGCTTCGCAATTTCCTCTTCCTCCTCTACCTTGAGATACTTGGCCAGAGGGCTTTGTAATTGCTATTTGGGTATATTTTTGGAAGCCACACCTGGTTTTTACTGAGTAAACACCTTCTTTGCTTTAGCCTGTGTCAACATATAGCATTCCTTCGCAGCGACTTGATCACCTCATAGATTAATCACTTCTTTTCCGTCCGGAGATAAGTACCGCATCACCTGGTGAAGAGTGGACGAAACTCCTCTCATCCGGTGTATCCAGCCTCTTCCCATGATGAGATTATAAGAAAGATGAATCTCTATTAAAACAAAGTTCTCCTTCAAAGTCCTCTTCGCCGCAGTTACGGACAAGTCTATTACTCCCAGGGGATCTACTCTTGTGCCATCGAATCCCATTAACGGGCTGGAGGTAGGTCGAATAGATGATGACGGGATCTTTAGCTGCTCAAATACCGTCTTTATGATAATGTTGGCACTACTTCCTGGATCTATCAAAACCCTCTTGATCATACAATTAGCCACTAAAAGACTGATGACCAATGGATCCTCGTAGGGGAGTTGAACTTTGGATAGGTCACCATCTTCGAATCTAATACTGATGCTACCCGAAGCGATAACATTGACTGAGGATATCTTCCTGAGCTTGTGGGCTGCCCTCAATCTGAATCCGTATACCCCATCGGACTCTTGATCATCTTCAGACCTGCCATGTATTGCATGAATGACTTTTAGTTGCGTACCTTCCACCTTGCGGGGATAGACCTCGCGGGGCTTTGCATACTCCTTTGTCATGAGGTAATCCGCCAACTCACCTCTGGCAATCATATTCTCCACCTGTCGCCTAAAGGATCTGCAATCATTGGTTGAATGCCCATAATCTCGATGATAAGCGCAATGCTTGCTTTTGTCCCTTTGCTCCAGGGGTTGTTTTATTGGTTGCGGAGTTGTGAACTTCATCTTCTTCTCTTGGAAGAACCGAGCCAAGGTAGTTCGGAGAGGTGTAAATCCTTCCTCTACCCTTTGCCTCTTCTCAGGTGCCTGGGTGATCGGCGTTAAAGAACGTTGGCTTTTCTGAATCTTTGAAGCTGGAATTCTTTCTCGAGGCTTGTTCTCCACCGTCATGAGGGTGGCGTGCTGCGCTCGGTGGGCTATATTTTCCTCGAGCCGAATGTAGATCTTGGCCCTGGTATTGAGATTCTGCATGTCGGGAGGAGAATATTTGACCAAGGAAGTGTAAAACTTCGTCCCCTGAATCATCGCAAGTTTAAATGTCTCTATAGCAGTTGCGGGGTGACAATCTGCTATTTCTAAGGCTTCCATGTTGAATCTTGATAAGAAATCCTGCAATGTTTCCCCCTTCTTTTGCCTTATGGTGAAGAGGCTGGCAATACTCTTCTTTTGCTTCTTATTTCCGCAATACTGTGCCAGGAACATGGTGCACGGAGTTACGTAATCCGGGATGGACTTATGCGGTCTATTCTTGAACCACTCTAGTGCTGCTCCTATCAAGCTGGTAGGAAAAACTCTGCACATCCAAGGGTCATTACGATCATCCAAAGCCATCTTTTGAGCGTAATGATCTAGTTGCCGAGAAGGATCCCCCGTTCCATCAAACTGGGTGAAAGAAGGCATGGTAAATTTCTTGGGCCTCTCAACCAGATACACATCGTCAGTGAAAGGAGTTTTGACCAAGGAATTTTTGTGTTCTCTAGCCATCTCAGCAGGTGTCTGAATTTTCAGGAGTCTTTTCTCATCAAAGGCATCCTGAACACCTGCACCATCTGGGATTCCATTGGACCACACCGTGAGCTTATGGCTAGATTCGACTTGCTCATCCTGCATGCGACGAGGGATGTTGTCTGAAGCCGCAGCCTCGAATCTTGCCCTCCGTTGTTGCTGAACCTCATTCGGCTGAGCCTCATTGGGTCGTGCCCCATTAGGTGGAAGCTCGGTCATCGGAGGAATATTCTGATTAGAGGGTGCTGCTATGTCACCCACTGGTGGCGGTGGTGCCAATTGAGCCATCGTCGTTTGCAGAGTGTTATTCTGTTGTTGAAGCAAGGCGATCTGAGCCACGCTTGCTTCGTTTGCCTGACGAAGTACGTCAAACTGACGTAGAAACTCTTCACGCATCTTCTGCATCAACTCCGTCTGTTGATCCATTGAAGATCCTCCGTTCGACATTCTGGATGGTAGTTGCAAGATTCACCTGTGAAATAAAAGTGGGAATATATTTGCACACAGTTCCCACAGAAGGCGCCAAAGTGTAAGTGCAAAATTTCGCTCAACCAATTACGATCGAGAGAAAATAATACAACACACTCAAGAATAGTAAAAATAAATAAGAACAAGGTATAGAGAAGTATAGAATTGCTTGGATGATTTTGGGATTCTTTTATTGGAGGTCTTGGCCTCTATTTATACACAAAAGACAGTAGAATTATGGTAGGACTTGCATTGCTTGTCCTCCAATCCTTTCCATGTATGACTTTCTGTACAATTAGAGTTCTTTCCATTGAAGAATTTTCTATGCACAGAACTTGCCTTGTGTAAAATTTCCTTCCATGGTAAAGCCTCATATTGGCAGGATTTCTTCATAACTGGCTGGGCTTTGAATAATGGGCCGTATGCTTGATATTAACGAATAGGTTAATACCCTTTTGATCAGGCCTGGATAGGTCTAGAGGGCTGATAATTGAGACCCTGGGCTGAGAATACACTCAATTTGGGCTTGAGTGTGATGGGCCTTTGGAAGACAGATTTGCTTGAGTATGACGGGCCTTTGGAAAACAGATTTGCCTCTGTGATGAAGTGGAGTAATTTCATTGGAGGGGATTTTTCCCTCCACAGGGCCATATCTTGTAACAGTATTAATTCTTCGTAAATCATATATATATATATATATATATATATATATATATATATACATATATATATTAATTCATATATATATATATACATATATATATATATATGTATATATATATACATACAGGGTTTGGAAGAGGATTACACGATTCCGTTAGGTCCAATTCTGCACTAAATCAGAGCTAAATAAATCCTAATAATTTCTAAAAAAAATTAAAACCAAAATTGAATTGTTGGAATTATAGCACCAAACAATAAATTGTGATTGCATACCGACTGGATTATATAATTTCATCAACTATTTTTGTTTCCTTTTCATATGTGTATTTTCTACAAGCCTGTGTGGCAGTGATACCTTGAATAAACATTTGTACACTCAATATGTGGCATAAAAAAATTATAACAAGTGTTTCAAATTTTATAAAATATAAAATATAACAAAAATAGAAAAAGAACACTTTTGATCCATTTTAATCGGGTTGACCGCATCTTTCTATACACACATTTGCACATACATATGTACAAAATTATCTTTTAAAGTAGAGTGAAATTGGAATTTAAGCTTCCTAAACCAATACCTTCCAAAAACAAGTTTTTGTTCTTCGGAATCAAAAGATCAAAATTTGGGTTCCACCATAGCTGTACAAATATAAACACACACACACACACACATATATATATAAACAAACAAAAATCATGTTATTAAAATTCCCATTCACCTCCACTTCCAAAGTAATTCTCATTCTCACTAGAACAACCTTAAGTTGTACAAGAGAATGACAATAATTTTATTTATTTTTAAGCACAAACCGAAAGGATTTTTTGATTATAGCAATGGTTCTTCATATCAATCACATATTCTCCACTTTGAGAAGGTAGAGAGCAAAACTAACCTCTCAAAACACTATTGCTAGATCTCAATTTTTTATTTTATTTTATTTTATTTATTAATTTATTTTTTTTGTAATGCTCAAACACATATTTTGATATTTATAAGGATAATGGTCAATGATGTATACGGTATATAAGATTAGATATAAAGTGTATACGGTGTATGAAGTCTTTGATTTGTGTAAGATCAAATGTTGTATTATCGAACAATGGCACAAGTAGAAAATTGTGTTATATCATATCAGAGATAAGATAAAAGATATTTTAATCCAATTAAATGGGTCAAACCAATTCTGATTCTATTTTTGTTATATTTATATTTTAAAATATTTAGGACACTTGTCATAAGTTTTTTTTGAACCTATCACTAATGGGCCTGAAAATTTTGAGGCCTTCTAAATGTTGACCGCCTTGGGCCAAGGCGGCCCTAGACAGAGACTCAAACTAACATAATGGCAAAAGCTACAAGCCTACATGTAATTAAAAAAAAAAAAACCAACAACTTTATAGTGATTTTAAGAAATATAAATTAAGTAAAAAAAACTACACCATTATAAATATGTTTAGTTAATGATGAACTATAAGTTGACAATTGTCATTATTGGAATTAAGAATAGATCGAAGGGCCCATACGATCCAAGTCTGTACGGACTGGTTTATTAATTTCACCTAGGGATGATAATTTGTACCGTCCTGCATGGAACCCTAACCCGTCCCGTCCCTAATGGCATGGGTATAAAAAAATATTTATGTACTATAGGGACGGATATGGATTTAAATTTTAAACTCATCGTGGGTTACGGTACGGAAATGGGTTTTGAAAATATCCGACCACCTCACCCCGCCCTTTAATAATTTTATTATATATATATATAATTATTATCACATATATATATATATATATATATATATATATCATTATTTACTATGCATTTATATTGTATAAAATATATATTTTATTAATTTATTTATATAGATAGATAATTAAAAAGAATAAAAAGTAAACGGGACAAGGCGAGGCTACGCCGTACGCTTATTTTCTAATGGAATAGGTTTGGTTTGTGAACTTTAAATCCATCGCGAATATGAAATGGATATGAATTTAGGGAACGGATCCTCTCTAAGAAAAATTCTCTCCTAACATCTACAAGCATTAATCCTACAATTACTAAGGCACCACGTCAATAACTCATTTGACTCACTCGATATACTAAAAGTTACGGCACTTTTTAAAAATATTTAACTATGTCAAATTACAAATTTACCTACATTAAAAAACTTTTTTCACTTTTTCCTCTCTTCCTTCTCTTTCCTATATATATATATATACATATGGCTAGATATATATATCTACAAATTATATACTATTCAACTCTCTTCTTTACTATTGAATAGATTTTTTATTTTTTATTTTTGTTAATTCCAATTAAAATTGATTATGATCCTTCGACTTGTATTTATATCCGATTTAGGAAATTTAATTATAGTTCTCCAATAATACATATTTAAGAGTTTGAACAGTTTTGTTGATTGCCATCACCAAACTTTGGAATTATTAATTGATTCGAAAGTTTCAAGCTTGAATGGTTTTGTTGATTGAAGGTTTGAAGCATTTGTTCGTCACTTTTCAACGGATTCTTGTGAGCCCAATTCGATGAGTCACATAACTCTATGGAACGACATAGAAATAAAGAAAGAAAGAGGAGGTTTGGGAGAGAGAGTTGTCAATGGCGGATCAAGAAAAGAAGCAAACCAGGTATGTTCTAGCCACGTGTGTGTGTGTTATAAGAGAGAAGGAAGAGACGAGGAAGAGAATTTCTTTTTAAAATGTGAGTAAACTTGTAATTTAATATAGTTCAATATTTTAAGAAAGTACAGTAACTTTTAATATATTTAGTGGGTAAAGAAGTTCTTGACGTGAGGTTTTAATATTTGTAGAATTAATTCCTATATGCTTGTAAAGAATTTTTATTGGACCATCGCGAGTATGAGACGGGTTACGAGATGGGTATAGTTTTTGTGCATTAATTTATATTTTTTCATTTTCCTTTCCTTTCCTTTGAAACACACTCGTCTAATTTTCCTTCTATTCATTTTCCTTTCCTTCTTCTCTTCCCCCACCACTCTTCCCTGCACTGCGAAACTCTCTTTCCATCTTCACCTCCGGCTCCCAGTAGTAAGACCCCCCTTCTCTCTCTCTACACGCCGGTCGTTGCACACGGCCGTTTTGTATCTTACGCCACCGGAGGTAAGTTCCTCATTTCTACAACTCCTATCCATTTTACTTGATGTTATAATCTCTATCTTCCTTTCTATTTCAAACTAAATCACCAAAAATCAAAGCTTTAATCACTCTTTAATCTCTATCTTTGTTAGATTTTTAATTCGTTACAGTCTCAGTCGAACTTTATGATCGATCATACTATATTTATATGTTTTATTGTTGTTTCGTTTGATTTAGGGTTGAAGCGAGTTTCTAGGGTTTTCGTTTTTGTGAGTTTGCCATTTCATTCGTTAGGAACAATCCCTACGCATCGATTTCTCGTTGAGAGAGGAAATTAGGGTTAGGTTTTGGATGCGTTGGTGGGGTTTCACATCCGCCAGACCAATAAGGGTGGTTCGGGTTCTGCAATGGCCAATCCTGGCGGTGTGGGGACGAAGTTTGTGTCTGTGAATCTGAATAAGTTCTATGGGCAACCGTCTCATCATCAGCGTCCTTCTTATAGTAGCTCTTATGGACAGGCTGCTGCGAGCCGAGGTCGGCCCAGTAGTAGTCATGGTAGTGGAATGGTGGTTCTTTCGCGACCTCGCAGTTCACAGAAGGTTGGGACGAAGCTATCTGTTCCACCCCCCTTGAATTTGCCATCTTTGAGGAAAGAGCATGAGAAATACGATTTGTCAGGATCAGGAGGTGGGTCCGTGGGTGGTGCTGCTTCAGGAAGTGGGTCACGTCCAACTTCATCCGGTATGGGGTGGACAAAGCCGGGTACTATTACTTTGCAAGAGGATGGGAGTGGTGATGCATTTGGAAGGTCTGGTATTGATGCTAAAGATGGCATTGACCAGAGTCTGCAAGCAGTTGATAGTGTGACTAGAGGAAGCAGTGTTTATGTGCCGCCTTCTGCTCAGTTGGGTGGGATTGGAGTGCCGGTTTCTGCATCAGCTCGAGCTTATCCGTCGCCAGTAGAGAGAGCCGCAGTTTTAAGGGGTGAGGATTTTCCTTCTTTGAAGGCTGCCTTGCCTACTACATCTGGGCCTGTGCAGAAGCAAAAGGATAGTTTGCACCAGAACCAGAAGCTTGTAGTGGGCGAAGAATCCCTCAATGAGCAGAGGGATAGTTCCCATTCGAGTTCGAATTTTCACATGCGCCCCCAAGGGCAGGCTTCAAATCATCCTGTCAGAAATGGCTTTAGCCAGAATGCTGG